TCCTTCAAAGCTTCCATAAGAAATCCATTAGTGCTCTCCTGCAGCGATTCCAGTGCAAGCACTTACTTTTAATGCTTAGGTTACCTCATTTTACATTACATTTTACAACCAACAACGACGCTCCTCCTCTTCCATGCGACAATGAAAACAGCTGAAAACAGTGCGGTTGCTCATGTTCACAACTTTTGCCGATTTGGCACCAAAGTGTCGTCTCGATCTCTTGTATTGTGCGTTGTTTTGTGTTTGGTGTAACGCTTTATTTCTACATACATATATAGCATAAACGAATGATCAAATAAAATAGCCAAACATTTGCAATTTCTCAACAACAATGTAACAATGAATAACCAAAAGCGCTGTTTTATAGATGGCATCTGCATAATTCAAAGTAAGTCATTTTTTAGGTCTTCGATCATGGCAGACGAAGAAGAAGTGTAAGCATTTCGCTATTTTTTTTTCAAATCCTGTATATCAGTTAGCATAGTCTCCGTATTAGCTCTTAAATGCTCTTTAAGTTATGAGGAGGAGGAAGAGAACAAGGAAGAGGGCGCCGACGAGGATGGCGAGAATGATGGGGCCGAGAAAGAAAGAAATGATCAGGAAGAAAAGTGAGATAAGTACTTCATATAATTTCATACCTGTATGATTTCTGCAGACCAAAAAGCCGTGTAGCGCAACCAGAAGAAAACGCTCCTGCTGAAATGACGGAGGCAGAAGCTGTCATGCTTGTAAGCGCGAAAAAATGACGATGCTTTTTGTTTCCTTGTTTGTTCTAGGCTGCCAGGAAGCGCCATGATGAAGAGGAAGCGGTAAAAATGCATGAGTACGAAGAACGTCGTCGACTCGAAAGGGAGAAAATTGAAGAGGAACTGCGTGAACTAAAAGAGAAGCAAGAGAAGAGACGTCGGGAGCGTGAAGAAGACGAGAGACAGTATGCTGAACGCCGTCGTCAAGAAGAAGAGCGTAGGAGGCAAGAAGAGGTATATTGTTACTAAGGGTTCA